AGAGAATCGAAGATCGAATTTCGGAATAATTCACAAATTGTGCGTGGTGATACTTTTCTCGGTAATGAGAAATACACTGGACAGTAATCAGAGAATCGAAGATCGAACGCATCCCCGGGAAACGACGTAACTTGAGATAATTAACGCAAGATAATTGCTTTTTTCGAGCACGATGCTGATCGTGTCGTCGTTTGAAATCGCGAGACCTTCCATCGCCCGCTTTTTGCAACACGCGTACATATCCAGAATAGCTGGCGGATATCTCTCCCAAGTATTTTCGCGGAGTTTCTTGCTTCCAGGAGATTGTTCGATCGTTCGATCGAGCGAATCAAGCCTTTATCTATCGATATCTTCGCCGAGACGTTCTCAGATTCGAAAGAGAGAGAGAGAGAGAGGGTGTATAATGGAAAAAAAAGTGGATAGAAAGAGGTGGAGAAATTTCGAGAACATTCTGTGTAAGAAACGTGGAAGAAAATAATGGCCCCGTACGAGGGATAACCTGTGGTAAATTGGAATCGAACGATCGTACCAACCAACTTGCTGGAAACCGATACTCTTTTTCTCTCTCTCTCTCTCTCTCTCTCTCTCTCGTGTATATATATACACGCTATATAAACTATAATTGAACATCGTGAAAAGTCTTCTTCGACTCTATAGTTTTGCTCGAGGGGCCGGCGTGATCTATTTGAACGAGTACGCGCGCGAAATAATAGGGAATCTTTGAGTCTAAGGACCATTTCTAATGGATTTGTATATTGGAGTGAAACTAACGATCAAAAAAATTTGAACAATTTGAATCTGACTTCGACCTGTCACTCGACGTTGTATTGATTCTCGATTTTTTAATAAAGATAAATAAGATTCTAATAAGTCGAGAGAGAAATCATCGTACGTTCGACGGTGGCGAGTAACTCAACAATTTTTAAACTCGAATATCACGATCGCTGGGAAAGTAGGAGCAGTCCCTTTCGACGAAAATTGCGCAAAACAATAGGCGACGCCGCAGGATTTATGTAGGAAAGTTTCCGCTGGCCCTTAAACTGCAGAATCGGTGGAAACTCTAATCTTGGCTTACCGAACCTTCCAAAATGCTACAAAATCGAAGATCAGAGGGTTTCAAACTTCCCTCCCGCAGAAACTTCAGAACCATCCACCCTTACAATCTCGCTGAACTTCGCTAATTCTTACACGATCTACACCACAACCTATCAACGCGAAAGATCATAGAATCTCTTTCCTCTCGTCTTTCGAAACGTTTATCGAAACTTTATTCGCCGTCTGTGGTTCGACTTTTATTTTCCACGTTTCTTTTCTTTCCAAGAAAGAAAAACCACCCTCTTTGATCCAATTAATCTTTCAACAATGAAAAATAATTCTTCTGCGCGATGTTCTCCGAAACATTTCCGCGGAACTTATTCCTCTCTCCCGTAGTTGAGGTTAAGGTTTGAAAAATCCGTACAGAGAGGGAAAGACCATAAAATTGTGAATTTCATTTTGAACAAGTATTCAATTTCGAGATGAGTTGCGAATTTTACAGATTTTTCTTTTTTTAGGAAATTTTGCAAGCTCCAGACTCTATTCAAGGCCATCCATTTTACCCTAAACGAGATGGATGCTCGATGCTTGGTCTTTACTGAATAACATTTACCGAATAAAAATAATAATTTGACAAATTATCATTTAATCTGGATTGTGCCGCGTTGAAATTGGCTCGTTGATAAAATAGGGATAAATAAGGGTGTCAGAGAGACCAGGTGTCCCTTTTGCAAAGTCCCTTAAATTACATCGAGACTAAACTCTACAACTTCGGCGAATAACTCGCGCGAATTTTGGCTGCGGTCACTACACACACGTTGATTACATTTAACGCTACGGTTACTTGTGGTCCTAAGAATTTCGAATTAGGTCACCGTGCGCTTGAATAATATTGAACAAAGATAAACTATACAGAAGCGTATCCACTTTCAAAACTACGCTTCTACACGACTAAGGGGATAAATTTGCAATCAAATTTTTCATTCCGGAATTCACCCACTTCCGCTACGTTCCATTAAACGAACAATAAACGATCACGATCCTCCTTAAATTAGGTAATTAAGTGGAACCTCTCGAAGAACTGAAGGTTCTTACAAAACTACTTTCTTCTAAAAAAAAAAAGAAAAATACACTTATAACAAAATTTTCATCCACTTTCACTGTGCATAAATAAATTGTTACAATCCTCTCTAATTCGGTCAATTGGAATTCTTTCAAATTCTTTCCCTAAAAACTGAGAAGACAAAATTATTCTTCCCCGAGTGATAATAAATTTGAAACAAACTGTCACAATCCTCTCTAAATTAGATCAAAACTGAATCCTGTTGTAACTTTTTTCCAAAAAATCGAAAAGACCTGATATAGTGTCAGGATATTAGACCAGGTTGAGAGTTTACTCTGTGATAGTGCACAAGTACTCAGTTTCAAAACTAGAAATTTACAACAAAATTCCACTGTGTTCGAACGAACTCTTTCTAAATTAAGTCAACGCTGTTGAAACTTTTCTCGAAAAATCGAAAAGATCCCAAGACGCAGCGTGAGGTCATCAGATCACAGAGTTTCACCCTGCCACAGTGCGGAAATACATCCAAATTAGCTTCAAAATTAAAATAATGAAATTCGATCGTGTTGAAAGCAAATTCTTCCTAAAAGCAAACAAAAGTAGAAACCTTTTTTCAAAAATCGAACATACTCTACATAAGACGAAGCGTGAGGTCATCAGATGAGAGAGTGACACAGTTTCACCCTGCCACAGTGCGGAAATGCATCCAAATTAGCTTCAAAACGAAACTAAACAACGAAACAATGAAAAATAACTAAAACAATGAAATTCAACCGTGTTGAAAGCCTTCGTAAATTAAATCAAAAGTGGAAACCTTGTTTTCACGAATCGAACAGACGGTATAAGACGGCGCGTGAGCCTAACTAGACCAGGGTGAGACAGTTCTGCCCTGTCTCACCCTGTACTCCCATATCACTTCAGGTGCACGCTAGGCCCGGGCTAGATGAATCTGGCGCGGCGAGGAAACGCGTGGTGGCGAGGAAAGTGACGATGGACCCGCAGGGAGAACAGCTCGCGAGAAAGACGTGGTACGCGAATCCAATGGCGTCGTTCGCGGATGATGCGATCGCGGCGATGATGCAGTGATCCAGGTGATCGATCAGTGGTGACCGACGGGAGGACGATGCATCACTCCGGTGGCGCCGGTTACGGGACCGGGCCCCAGGAGCGAGTGCACCAGGCGCCGCGAACTACCGGCCAACCTGACAAGTGTCCATACGAGACCTACCAGGCCCAGATACCGGACTGCTGTGCAGCTGCAGCCGCGGTCCAGGACCCGTATCCACGGCCGCCCAGCGGATACGACGGCAGGTGCTACGACGAGTGCCATCGCAGGACTCCCTACCAGGAGGACACCTATCCCCAGGTAATTACAATTCTCTCCTTTCGTCAGACCGAAATTTTGCAATTTTTGGTTAATCAATGACACAATTTACCTGACTTTTCTCTTTAACTCATCGTTGCCTTACGATTTTCTCTTTTTTTTTTTTTTCAGTTATAGCGTTGTATGGCTAAAATTTGAATAACTATTTGTATAACAATTGATCTCATAATTATTAAATTCTGGATATTCATAAGATCAATATCATTGATGGGTGAATTGCTTTAGTAGAAAAGTAAGGATTAAATATTTCATCATTTTATAAAATATAAAATTTTTAATGATGGGCGACAAATTATTAATAAAATGAATATTCGTATTAAAGTTCATATAATTTCAATTGTACGATTTTTTAATAAGGATGAATTTAATGTTGAATCTGAAATAAAATATAGTGTTGATGAAATAATTATAATTATAAATAATATAATAAAAAGCAAGTATCACTTATCGAAACTGTGAAATTAATTTAAGACGTTCAATGTATCGTTGCATGTTTTTATACAATTTTCATTTATCAACATTCAGTTAAGTTAAATTTAATTAAATTTAAAATCTGATTCGAAATTTTACCAGCTTGCAATTCACTTTTTCTTTTGAATCGCGATGCCTTAACTTATACCACAAGTCAATATTATTAGTCGAAGGGTTAATCTCGTTAGTTGTTGTTAATCTTCGATTAAAATTTTGCAACTCCTTCCTTTCAAATCGAAATCACGAGTGCGACTAGGGTGAACGATTTTATTTAATTCGATAAAGTGCTGTACTTTTATTTGATAGTTTATATACATTTAGCATTTTTGTCAAATCCTTCGAGTTTTTCAGAGATATGCATGAAAATCGGCAGTTTACTTAGAGCTTCGTTGATCTTTTACGTCAAACGTAAGCTGCATTAACCCTCAAATACTATCATCGGGTTACAAACAACTAGAATAAGATTAGGAATTTCATTTTATTAGGGGTACCCACAAGTAACGTCGTTTCTGTGCAAAATTTTATTTTATTTAACAGTTAATACAGTTTTGATCTATAATATAAGATACCGTGCAAAATTTTATTTTATTTAAGGGCTAATACAGTTTT